ATCTTGTTGTTTAGTTGGAAAAAAAAAAAAAAAATAGAGGATTGGGTCGCTTCCCCCACCGAATAAGTAATCTAACATCCCTTAGCCGTGTATGTGTTGCTCCTTTTGACGCTAAAGTTGGGGCCCCTCCCCCGGCCGGGTAGTAAGGGGAGTAAGCTGGGGAGGAGGTAGGGTAGCTCACCTGGGCGGTAGGTAGGGTAGGAACCTGGGCGGTAGGTAGGGTAGCTGACCTGGGCGGTAGGTAGGGTAGCTCACCTGGGCGGTAGGTAGGGTAGCTCACCTGGGCGGTAGGTAGGGTAGCTGACCTGGGCGGTAGGTAGGGTAGCTCACCTGGGCGGTAGGTAGGGTAGCTCACCTGGGCGGTAGGTAGGGTAGCTCACCTGGGCGGTAGGTAGGGTAGCTCACCTGGGCGGTAGGTAGGGTAGCTCACCTGGGCGGTAGGTAAGGTAGCTCACCTGGGCGGGTAGGCTGCAGCCTGAGCCTGTCCCGCTGGCACGCTGGGTCCATCTTCTGGCGAGATAATTGGATCCTGCGGCCGTGTTCTGCACACTCCTCAGGCCACTTTGCTGGGGTCTTGATATTTTCCTCCACGGACTTGGCTCTCTTTTGTTATAATTATGATTTTACTCTTTCCCTTTGAGGAAGAGTAGATAAGTGGCCTGAGGCTTCGCTCCTGAGCGGGCACTTTCTTGGCCAGCGACCTGGGGCGCAGCATTGCTGAGGGTGAAGACCACACAGGGCGCTGGATCTGGGTCCCGCTCTAAGCGGGTGTTTACTGGCTGGGTGCCCGGTGGCTCCCTTCAGCCGCTGAGCCTGTCGGCGCTCTTCTCAGATGAGCTCAGATGGGGTAACTTTAAAAAGTACTTGCCACGACAGCACCCGTCAGAGGCAGGCCGGTGGTGGTCATAAATGTGCATGGACACAGACCCCCTGCTGCTGCTGAGCGGCAGGGACCTCAGCCAGTCACCGGTCCCTCTGACACCCGCTGTCAAACAGGAACCCCGTACCGCAGGTTGTTGGTGTGGTTATGGGAAGTAACCAAGTTTCTTGCCTCTCGCAACTTCTGACTTTTTTCTCCGGTCGGTGTGACCATAGGTGACGGCGGCAATGACGTCAGTATGATTCAGGAGTCTGACTGCGGCGTGGGCGTCGAGGGGAAGGTGAGCGGGTGCCGGGTGCCGGGTGGCAGTGCCAGGTGGCGTGGTGTTCTCTCTCCTCCGAGGCACAGCGTCAGTGCTTCTGGGAATCGCACATTAGGAATGTGCTGTAAGGAACCCTGCATCCTGACGACCTCGCCTTACCCCGTGGGGTCAGAATTCGGATCACTGAATCCTGCAGACAAATGCTGATTTTTTGCTTGCGAAAACCTAAGTTTAAAAAAAAAAAGGTTTTTGCCATAATCTTAGGGTCCGCTGGATGTGCTTCCGACTTTTCCTTGGGGTGGTGGTGTCAGTTGGAGCCCGAGTTGTCACACTGTGTGCAGATGTGGGAGAAGGGGGCATGGCGGGCGCGTTGCTAAAAGGCCTGGGGCCTGCAGTTCTTTCGAGTGTTTGTTACAAAGGTTTCCATCTCTTTCCTTGTCAGCTGTGCGCTGCCTCCCATAGTTTGCTCTGCCCTCTAATTTGTGCCGCTCAGTGACTCTCCGCAAGAATAGTGGCCACCAGCTGTCAGAACGGGGTGCAAAACACGAGTGCAGAGGCCCTGGGTGAGGGCCAGGGCTCCCCTTACATTTTGGTCCGTATCCTCATGAATTTGGCTCATCCTTCATTTCCTTTTTCACCCTTTCTGGTTAAGTGACCCTTGAATGAAATGTTACATCTGAACTCTGTATGGACTCCTTTGTTGCAGGTTTCAGGAAGACACTTGAGTTTAATAGATAGAATTCTTTACAGGTGTCTATGTGGAGCCAAAACATTTCCCCTTAAAATTATACTCTGATACCTTTGTTTTTGGAGAATGAAAGGAAGAAATGGTCACTGTAAAAAATTAAAACAACTTAGAAATGGATGAAGTGTCTTTTAGATAGCCTCATCTAAGTGGCAACATTGTTTATTATTCAGAACTTTTGTCTATGTGTATATTGCTGGTTATGAATATGTATGTATGTATGTATATACTGTATACACATACGTATGTTCATGCATACACATATCTCACACATGTATGCATATTATTTTCAGGTATAGTTTTAAATTAGAAACATTGTGCATTTAAAAAAATACATATTTTTATTGATTCAGAGAGGAAGAGAGAGATATATAGAAACATCAGTGAAGGGAGAGATTCATTGGTCGGCTGTCCCCTGCATGCCCCACACTGGGGATCAAGGCTGCAACCCGGGCATGTGCCCTGACCAGGAATCGAACCGTGACCTCCTGGCTCATAGGTTGATGCTCAACCACTGAGCCACGCTTGGCTGAGCAACATTATGCATTTTTAATGCAACTTGATGACATCTGTTATATCTTGGATTTGTTTCTACATCAGAACATGTAGATCCATCCTTTTTTTTTTTTACCTTCCCTCAAACTTTTTATTTTGAAAATGTCACCCCTTCAGGAAAGTTGAAATAGAGCAGTGAGCGCCCATCTATTCTTCACTTCAGTTGACCGGTTGTTAACATTTGCCTCATTCTCTCTCTCCTCCCCCAGTCCCCAAATCAGTGGAAAGTCAGTTGCAGATATAATGTGTTACCCCTAACTACTTTAGCACGGACCTCTTAAGAAAAAGAACATTCTGTTACGTACTCAAAATAACATTATATGCCCCCCCACCGAATGCCACGTTGAGATAACATTATATAATTTTCATAGTTCATTCTCCCCTGTCGTCCTCAAAATGTTTAATGAAAGTATCTCCAGGAACCAACGAAGGGACAGTTGTGGGTTCTCCCTGATACCTGTGGGTGAGGTTGATTTGATTCACATTCTGTGTTTTTGGTGTGAGTAGCACCTAAGGGGAATTTGCATCCCCTGTTGCATCCAATCAGTTTGTCCCACAAGTGGCATCTGTCATGGACCTTTTAAAATGATAAAATTCCCACAAATGGTTGCACTGTAAATTATTCCACTTCTATAAATGTGCAAAGCTGCCGTGTATGTTCAGGAATGTTCCATTTAATATTGTTAGTAGCATCTGATTCCTTCCCCCCTCCCCATTTTTAACTCTTAAGGGAACCGAGCGTTATAAAATGCCTGTCTTTGAGCGATTCTTTGCTTCTGATGCGCATTACGGCGTGGGCCTTACCCCCAAGGCTTAATGCTACATCCATTTGACCTCCAAATTATAACTATCTGTGATTTGGAATGTTTTTTGTTTAAATAAATTCCTCTTTTTAAATCAAATTTAGACTTGGACCACCAACTGTGTATAGCTTGAAACCAAAGAATCTCTTTATTGAAGTTCTTGGAAGATCTCCTTACAGTGTCTTGCTTTTTCAATTAAAACAAATGTGTTCGCTTTGACCTCTTGTGCATCTGATGGTGCCCAATTTCATCGGGTTTCAGGAAGGAAAACAGGCCTCGCTGGCGGCAGACTTCTCCATCACTCAGTTCAAGCACCTCGGCCGCTTGCTCATGGTGCACGGCCGGAACAGCTACAAGCGCTCGGCCGCCCTCAGCCAGTTCGTGATCCACAGGAGCCTGTGCATCAGCACCATGCAGGTGGGTGACAGCCGCACCTCCACGCAGGCGCGCGTGGCTGTCCTGGAGAGAGCGGGGAACCAGGCTGTGTCTTGGAGCTGGTACCCCCTCCAGGCCCATGGCAGCTGATAGACCTCGGATTGCCCGGATCCTTCCTGTTAGGTGTGAAGGCCATTCTTGGGGTGTCGTATAGACTGGAGTTGTTATAACTGGTTTGCCGGAAGGAAAAATGCCGAGTTCAACGCTAAGTGGGTACTGAGTTTTCCACATGCAGAAATAAGGGCCAAATCAAGAATAACTTGCTGTTCTGGAGCGCTGCCTATACACTGGGCATCGGGCTAAGTGTTCACAGTGCAGTGTCTCACTCAATCCTCACAGTAGCGCCCATTTCACAGATGGGGAGCCTGAGGCTGGGGGTAGGTGGAGAGGGAACAGAGTTTGTGTAGTGTCCCTCAGGGTTAGTGTGCTCAGACAGGGGACTCCAAGCCTGCGCTCTTAATCAAGGTCTCTGCCTCGGTGCCCTCCATACATAAGGACTATAGCAGTTAACTGTGTACTAGGGAGAAGGCCAAAGGGGAGGAAAGAAAACATTTTGGGTGTTGAAAACTGTCTACTGACTTTCCTCCGTGGGCATATAGGTGAAAATACTCCCAGTTAAGTGGGGGAGAACATGGGGATGATATATCTCAGAACCCATGGTTTTTTTCTGACCAAATCACTAAGTATAGCAGGTCCTCAAATAATGTCGATTTGTTTAAGATAATTTCATTATAACATTGGCGACATGTTCTTTTAAAAATCAATTAGCCTATGGTAAACATTGTTTTCATTATACATCGTGTTGCTTAAAGTCACAGAACCTATCCACAGTGTTAAGTGAGGACTTACTCTATTTATGATACCTTGGGCAAGTCACTTCACCACTCTGGGCCTCAGTCTTTCCACCTGGAAAATGGGGACGATGCGATCTGCCTTGTCTCTCAGACAGGGCTCCTTTGAAAAGTAGAGCATTTTATAAGGGACCAAGTGCTAAAGGCATCCTTACCATTATTAATAAAACAAAAGAGGATAATGTGTAAAATAAGAGGACATTTAAATTTGTAGGAAAGGTGAGTAATCATACATGAAAGGCACAAGGCGTCCTGCCTTTCCGAGCGAGTCGGGTGGTGCTGCTCTGTGTTGATGAGAATTCGCCCGTCACCGGCCTCCTCCGTGCATGCCTTTCGGGGTGAATGTATGTTTTTAATATCTATGCACTTATGAGTGTAGGAGCCTTAAAGTGATTTTCATCAACATGCTCTAAACCCAAACAGCTGGTACGGTTCATCAGACCACATCTGTACTTTTAACTTATGTTCGCTCCTCAATTGAACTGGATAGGACGGTGGTTTTAATCACCGGGAGATCAGTCAGCCCGTCCCCGGGCAGGCACACAAAAGCGGGCCTGGGTGAGCTCACTTCTGTAAGGCTCGCATGCTACCATGAACATTGCTTCAGAAAACATGGTCGCTGGGACTCGTTCTCTGTGCTAGGAGAGTGCCCTTGACCCTGTCCACCGTGCTGAAAGTGGGCCAGTCCGTGTTAGAACTGGACCTGGACGGGGGTCTCTTTGATAGAGGTGTAGCATCTTGTGTTCCCCCCCCCCAGTGCTCTTTTCAAGATGAGGTCTTTGTGGTCAGCTCGGGGCATTTGGAGAAGGAGGCTCCCCATGGTGATCTGCAAAACGAAACCCCAGATTTTTGACATTTTTACAACCATCCTTTCTCTGCAACAGCCCAGCCTGGGCGAGAAACTCCTTGAAAAGTGGCTTTCACCTTTCAATTCTGAAATCACGACCAGGGTGGCACCAGGGCTTCCTGCCAGTGACCGTGGCCTTAGGTGACCCCGTGTCCTGAGCTGTGCCAGGTGAACAGGCATGGCAGGGGCTGCGGGGAGGTGTCTGGGGTTAGACCTCTTCCTGGTCACGAGGCTGGCTCAGCCTTTCTCCCGTGTCCGTCCTTGGAAAGCCTTCGGGAGCAGCTGTCCCTGCTTCCTTTGGTTTTATACTCCGGGGAGTGAGCTTCGCGGCCACTTTCCTTCCGTGAGCCCCTAGACGTCCAGAGAAGAAGGTCCCAGCATCAGGCCTGCTTTGAGCTCTCTGGTTTATTTCTTCACCGCCTGTAGCTGATAGTTTCCAAACGAGGAAGCAGAAGTTTCGGGAAGGGGTCGTAAATATCTTTATTCCTCTTGTCTAATTGCAATTCGTAAAATTTTCAAAAATAGTAAGACCTATAGTATAAGAAGTAAGGCCTTCTCTCCAACCCCACCCTCCAGGGTAATTGCTTGTGTCCTCCTGTCAGGGGCTGTGTTTCCATATGAGTTCCCACACATATGCCCACTTGTGACGGTTGCATATCCAGGGGGGCGGTGATGCTGAGCTGTTAGGAGCGTGGGCTCTGAGACAGGTGAGCTAGAGTCCCCAAGTGCCATTTACCTGCCCAGTTTCCCCTCCTGTAATATTCAGGTGACGTTAGGACTCGACCTCATGAGCGGTTCTGGAGAGTCACTGAACCCATCTATCTACACAGTGTTCCAGCTCATGTTCACACAGGGGCTGAGAGTGGACTCTGGGGCTAACAAACTCCTTGGGTATGATTCCTGGCTCTGTCACTTACGGGCTGTGTGATCTCGGACAAGTCACTTAACCTCTCTGTGCCTTCTCTCATTGGTAATGCGGGGATGATGATCACAGTACCTACTCCACAGGGTTGAGTGAGCATTAAGCGAGCTAATACACTTAGAGCACTTATGGCTGTTGGTGTGAAGTAAGTGCTTTGTAAGGGTTGGTGCTGTTTTTATAAACATAAACATCGGGGCTTTGGCGATGGTTTTGCTAACGTCCCCCTTTCTCCTTGCACAGGCTGTCTTCTCCTCTGTGTTTTACTTTGCCTCCGTTCCTCTGTACCAAGGATTCCTCATCATTGGGTAAGGAAATCCAGGCAAGGTATTAATTTTTTATGAAACCACCCTGAAATGCCACAAAAGAAAGAAGGACATTATATAAAGAAGCATTATACAAAGTCCCCAAGTGGCCAGCCAAGCCAGGTTAGACTTTTTTGGAATTACTGAGTTTTTGAACTGCTAAGCCCGTAACCAGGCCGAGGAAGTGGAGTCCGGTCGGCTTGTGTCCATGGCACTTGGCCGTTTGTACCTGGTGAGGGAAAACCGCCGGCCCCCGAGGGCCCGAGGTTATTGGCTGATTGGCCACCAAAGCAAGAGTGAAGGCTCGCAGACCAGCGATTCCATGGGGGGTCTTAGGAGAAGAGAAGAGCGGGGTCTGCGCAGCACCCCTCTACGCGGCTGACCCCAGTGGGACGGCCCGCTGTTGGGTGTGCAAGGCGGGCGAGTCTTGGCGGACCCCTGCTGCCTCTGACCCATTAGGCGGGGTGTCACTTAGACATTTGCTGCCACCAACTCACCCCCACTCCTCACCTGAATTCATGACGTCCCTTTTGACCTTTCAGAGGGGTGCTCAGCCTTTGACTTACCCGGGTGGGTGGAGTCTAGTTACCACCCGCCCTAGAGAGAGGCGCACAGGCGCTCCTGGCTCGGAAGAGGCGCAGGAAGGCGCTGGCCCCACGGCGGTCTGACAGAGTGGGCCTCCCATCCTCCTGTGTTTTGCCCGGTCAGCCTGAGAGTAGGCGCTGGACTTCTGATTGGAAAAATGGACTGTCCTTTGTCAGGTCCTGGAAGAGTAAAGCAAACAGGCCCGAATATAGCGGGGGCTTCCGTGTTCCACGTGGCCTTCCAGGAACTGGTGCCCGATTCCCTCTCGGTTCTCATCTCCTCTCTCCACCCCTCAGCTCCAGCCGCACTGGCTGCCTCGCTGGTCTTCAAACAGAACGGACACATTGCTACCTCAGGGCCTTTGCACTCACTCTGCTGCCTGCCTGGGGTGCTCTTCGCTCCCATGTCGGCATGGCTGCCCCCTCACGTCTTGTGGATGTTTACCAATGTCACGCCCCTTGGCGGCCTTCTCAAACTGCACCCCACCCTGTGCCTTAGTCCCCTTCTCTATTACACTTCCCTCCAACACATGGTGTAGTTTACTGGAGTTATTTATTGACTCACGTTTTGTCTGTTTTTCATCTTGAATCTCCAGTGCTTCGTTAGAACTGCCCTGGCACATGGGAGGCCCTCCGTACACGGTTGTCGATGGATGAATGGGAACGGGCCAGGCCTTACCGGCAATCTTTCTCTCCTAGGTACTCCACCATCTACACCATGTTCCCTGTGTTTTCTCTGGTCCTGGACAAAGACGTCAAGTCAGAAGTTGCCATGCTGTATCCTGAGCTCTACAAGGATCTCCTCAAGGTTCACCGAGCTCCTTCGCCTTCCCCTTCCTCCCTCCTTTCTTCCTCCTTCCTTCCTTCCTTTTCCTCCCTCTTACCTCCCTCCCTTTCTTTCTTTCCCTCCCCTTCTTACTTCCTTCCTCCATCCCCCCTTTTTCTATATTTCATATAAAAGATACCTGATTTGAACACACTTGAACTGGTGGCTTTGAGGAGAAAGGCATGGGAGTTTTTTCCCCCTTAAAAAAGTAACATATGCACATGTAAAGCATATTAAACAGTACAGTAATATATAAATGGAAAACAAGCCAACTAACAACTTTTTTAGAAGCTCTGGACAGTCTTGTATCTGCTCCTAGAGATGTTTATGTACACGTCTGAAAAGTGTGTGCGTGTGTGGAGTGTGTGTGTGTGTGTGTGTGTGTGTGTGTGTAATTTCATTTGTTCTCGAGGGGTTTTTACTAAAGGGCAGCCTTATTCCTATCTAATGTCAATTCTCTTTAAAAAACGTAATTTATTTGATGTATTCAGATACGTGTAAGCCACTTCTTTTGATGAAGACAGGCAGGTGGCCTTGCCTCGTTTGGGGAGGAGTCGTGTGAAGGCAGCGGGCGCCCTGGCTGAGCCCCGCACGTAACCTCTTCTGTCTTTCTCTCCTGTAGGGACGGCCGTTGTCCTACAAGACATTCTTAATATGGGTTTTGATTAGCATCTATCAAGGTAAGAAAGGTGAACCCACCGCTTGCCTTCTGCTCTGGCCTGGACCCCAGGTCAGCTTTATGTTCTGTTGTCTGTAGGACGGAGAAGCTGGAACCCTAGGATAGCAGGAGGGAGCGTGTCAGCCTGCCCCTGGGGGACCCTCTCCGTGTGTCCTAAGGACTAGAATATGCAGCACTCAGAAGTCCCATATGTGAGATGCTGCTGTCGGCTCAATGCCATGAAGTCAGAGAAAAAAATGACTCACACTAATCAAAACCTGCTGAGGTGTTAGAGCCACTGTACCCAAAAGCGATTACTTTCTGGAACCTTCTGCTGCTTTTCCTGAGGTCAAGTTGCAGTGTTTGAAACGCATATTTATTCCAGTGGCCTCCGGGGAGGGTCCCTGAGGCCGTGGAGGCTCTGTGAGACCTTAGTGAAGTCGGAGGAGGGAGCATCAAAGTCTGTTTTTATTTTTCCTCACTCTTTCCAGAAGGTCTATTTAAAGTATGTTTAATAAGCCACATTATATACAGTGGTCCTAATACCTCCCTCCATCAGCTCATATAGAATTTACAAATATACAAGGCATATTGGGGTTCGTTTTTAATGCTTTCTCCTGACGGGGTGCACAAAGAGTATGGAGACCGTGGAATTTGTTAGCAGGGGCCTAAATGGTCATTACAAAATGCAGGGGGTATTTTAAAGGAGTATATCAAGGCATAATATACGCATCTGGTTCAAGAAAGCCAGCCCGGCATGGGAGTTCAGTGGGAAGCAGTGGGCTGCGTTCCACGCCCTCCACTCAACCGGTTACAACGGGTCCCACTCGGCGGGTCCCCCCCGGCGGGTCCCCCCCCCGGCGGGTCCCACTCGGCGGTCCGAGGGTTTCCCCGGGCCCTGCCTTATTCCTGTGTGGCTAGCAGTTTTGATCAGTGTTAGACGTATCCCTCCAGCCCCTGCCTGGCTGGCTAAAACCTCATCTACACCTTCCCCTCTCCCCTCTCTCTCCTCAGTAGCAGTTGAGTGACCCTCTTGGTCGCTTCTATCATTTCGTATGAAGTTTACCGTCTTAACTCTTGGGAAGGGTACCGTGCGGCAGTGTCCAGTCTATTGGCGCCGCGACAGGTCTCCAGAACTTTTCCATCTGGCAGGACGGAAACTTTGTATCCATTCGACCACAGACTCCTCTTTCACCTCCTGGCAGCCCCTGGGAGCCTCGGGACCGCCAGCCGGCTTTCTGTGTCTGTGAATTCGACTCGTTTAGAGAACTCCTTCATATAAGGGGAATCCTACGGATTTTCCTTTCATGTCTACCTGCCTCTGTCATTTTAAATAATACATTTAAATTTCTATTTCTTGTTCCATCCGCTTCAGATAGTTAACCTCTCTCCATCTCCCTCCCTCTTCCCCCCACCCCACCCCACCCCCGCAATGATAGACTCTTGATTATTACGTAAGGTCAGAAGGGGAAGTCGGAAAACTAGACAAAACTGGAAGGTGATGCCTCTTTAAAACTCGCATAAAGCACCACTCATTCAGCAAGTGGTACTTTTCAGGTCTTAATGGAAAAACAAATGAAAAAAAAGGCTTCTGACGTGAGTGAGCCGTGAGCCTTCGGGGGAGCGTGGGGAGGTGTCACGGGGGAGGTGGGAGCGTGGGGGTTTGCGCTCCCGGTGAGAACGCCACCAGGGGCGCAGCGGCCCTCCCCACCCGCACTGTCCTCTCTCCAGGCAGCACCATCATGTACGGGGCGCTGCTGCTCTTCGAGTCGGAGTTCGTGCACATTGTGGCCATTTCCTTCACGTCGCTGATCCTCACGGAGCTGCTGATGGTGGCCCTGACCATCCAGACCTGGCACTGGCTCATGACGGTGGCCGAGCTGCTCAGCCTGGCCTGCTACATCGCCTCCCTGGTGTTCCTACACGAATTCATCGGTGAGACCCCCGCCCCCCGCCTTCCCCGCATGGAAAGCCTGGCCGTCGCCTCCAGAGGTCTCCCAGCTTGAGAAGGAAGGCAGCCCCCGGCACTGGGGTCCTGGGCTCCGTGTCCAGCAGGCCTTGGCCCTCAACTGCCCCACTGACGGCTGTCCCGTGGGCAGTGTGTGTCAGCCATCCGGGCCGGGCGCTTGGGCAGGGTCTCAGCAGAGAGCTTTCTTTTGGAATTGGATGTGCTGCTGGGCTCCGGAGAGGATTCTGTGTCATTCAACAAGGGCCCGGTGGGTTCCCAGGGAGCGACTGCTGTGCTGGGCTCTGTGCCGGATGGAGATGCCAAGCGGCCAGGTCTTGTTGGTGAATGAATGACAGTGGGCAGGACTTAGCATTGTTCCCTTGGGAAACTGCCTGACCAGGACAGCGCCTCTGATCACGTCTCTGTGCCTTAGCAAACACTCCTTAAAAAGGTCTTGGTAAAGATAAAGGAGCATCCGTGTGAAAAGTCTTAGAACGATTTCTCACTTGTCCCCAAAAGTTCAAATGGGTTTTGTCAGCACATACTATGCGCTCAATGGATGAGACTGGGGGATGGGGGTGCTCCCAGGGGCTTAGAAAAGCTGTGGTCGGTCCCCTTAAAGGTGCACCTACCATAGGACTGGGTGAGCAGCATACAGTGGGCCTTAGGGCTGGCACGTAGTAGGTGCTTAGTCAACGCCAGCTGTGTTTTCCCCATCCTGTACTCGGGCAGTGGGGGCATGTTTACTGTGCCCTCCATTCCTTGCACTGTTGACGCCACCAGCTGTCGCTCCCCTGGCACCTAAGGGCGTGCCTGTCCTTAGATCAAAGCCCCAAGCTTACCCTGTTTCCGACCAGGGGGCCCAGCTGCCTTGTGCCACCTCCAGACCCGTCCCCTGGCTTCCTGTGACCATCACGCAGACGAAGGGGAAATCGGTGGGGAAGCAGGCACGTGTGTTTGAGGGTCACTTTCTGCTCTCCGGCGGCCGTGTTTAAAAAACTCCAACTTTCAGAGCCCAAATCAAAAACACCTGTAAGAATTGGTTTTCGTCTGCAGTTTCCATTTCCTAGTTGTTGAAAAGAGCAGTTCACCGAGGACCAGGGATACAGAAGCAGGTCAGAGAGAGGGGAGTGCGAGGCAGGTTGGGCTGACAGCCTTATGGGCTATTAGCTGCTGGCACGTCTGCCCCTGAAAGACGGAGTGGAGGGAAGGAGCACGCCAGGAGGCCGTGTGTGTGTGTGTGTGTGTGTGTGTCTGTGGTGGCCGTTTCTGGACCACAGGTGCCTTCTGGAACATTCCCGCCCACTCACGCTATCTTCCCGTTTGCTTGCAGATGTGTACTTCATCGCCACCCTGTCCTTCCTGTGGAAAGTCTCCGTTATCACCCTGGTCAGCTGCCTGCCCCTCTACATCCTCAAGTACCTGCGCAGGCGGTTCTCCCCGCCCAGCTACTCCAAGCTCACCTCGTAGGCTGTGTGCGCGGTGGCGGGAGTCTGGTCCCTGCTCTCCTGCCGGACAGAGTTCAGTCCAGTTCGTCCTGACCGCCCGAGGGCTCTGCAGGAGGGGCTGCACGTGCCGTGTGGACCAGAAGAGGCTCTGCCTGGAGTCCTGCCCGAGTACACGGGAGGGAGGCCCGAAGGAGCCCGCGGCCCGTGTGAACCCCGGTGGTTCCGCCTGGAGTGAATGTGAATGTGTCCCCGTGGGTGGCTCCGCCAAGAGATTGATACGCGGGTCCCTGTGCAAGCGTCCTTATGACTTGAATTTTGTTGTCATGTGATAAAGTTTCTGTCTAGTTGGAGATTGTAGAGGACTTTTGGTTGGTTGGTTTTTTTCAACAATCCTAACGTGTGTGCACTCTTTATGTCTTTCCTGCTCCTAAAAACCGATTTTAGAGAAACGTAAAGCTCTTGGTGGAGGTTTGGGGGGAAAGACGGTGCATTTGGTTAAAAGTTATCCAGACACCAACCTCAATTCGGAAATGCCAGGTGTCCCCTCTGCGCAGCCCCGCTATTGAAGCCGGGCTTCCTAGGATCACAGGAAGGCAAATGAGAGGCGAGGGAGAATGAGCTGCAAATCCAGGTTTCCCGCATCTCACTCCGCACCCACACTGGAGTCACGTCCCCGCCACCTCGTAAAGGAATGTCAAAGGTGCCACTCTGCTTCGTCCGGACCTGGGAACAATCATGAAGCCCGTGGCCATCTGGGACACCCGTGACATCCTCTGGGAGTTGTTTTCCCAGGAAATGTGCCACCGAACAGCCCCTTAACATGTCAACAGGGTGAAAAGAGGTACAACTAATTCTTTAGACAATAGCGCTCACTCGGCTCGGACCCTGGTCCAGAGCGGGGAGGTCAGGACTGGGCCCTTCACCCGACTGAGATCTGTTTCCTGTTGGGAGGAATGATGGAGGACGGAAGGACAAAGGTGGCGGCTTCTTACCACGTTGCCACGCTCAGTGGCAGCTTCGAGCAGGGCGCCCCGTGGGAGGAGGCCCGGCTGGGGCATGGGCATGGGCCTGGGCTCTGCTCCACAGCCTGCAGCCTTCATGGGGCGGGGGGCTGACGAAGGGCAGCCAGGGGCTGAGATGCCACCCACCGGGCTGCGGCACGGGCGTGGTGTTTCTTACAAAGCCGTGGCTTCTCGTTCCGGGCCAGGAAGGGAGTTTCCGAGCACTGCACGTGGCAGGGCAGGGCGCCTGGGCCGGTCACTCTTGCAGCGGCCACGTGTGCAGCCCCGAGGGTTCCGTTGGCGGGTCTTCAGGAGGCGACTGTGTTTGAGGCCTCAGATTGGTGGTTAATCCTGTGCGCGTACATGCCCTGCAACCCGTGGGCACGGCGCTTCTGTGTGTGCTTCAGAGACGTAGGCTCGGCCCGGGTGCTGACCCCACTGCCCGAGGGGCCCCTGCTCCGGGGACACGAGGAGCCGGCGTGCCTCGCCTTGGCAGCACCCTCCCTGTGCTCACGTGTTCATGTTGCCTTTTTACATCTTTATGAAGTGACAGCAAGTTGCAGGCCCTCGGAAATTGGCTATTGACAGCACTTCTGTCTTAAGATTCTGCAATTTTACAGTATTTGCCCCTCTCTGTTCAGCCATTTCCGCCTCCCACCGAGATCTACAGGGAGCATGTATAGGGTGGGGCAAAAGTAGGCTTACAGTTGTTCATATGGAAAAATAATGCAATCATTAATAAATGATGATATAAGGATAAACTGTTTTGCATACTCATAACTGTAAACCTACTCCCCCCCCCCCCCCGTTCCCCCTATAATGCAGTGAAGGAATGGCTATTTCAGAACAGGGTTTTGTGTAGAACTCTTGGAAAAGTCGAGCAGGTCTGAGTCCACTGCGCTATTTTACGCAGTTTGGAAGGTGGAGGAGGAGGAGGCTGTGCTCTGAGTGCCTGCACCTGGCTGTGGTGTTGGGCGTCAGATGGGAGTCTTAAGTATTTCCACTCTGTGCTTGCAAACCCGGGACCGGGCCTTGCTCACAGACCGGTGAGGGCTCCTGCAGGGAGGGCCTTGTCCGGAACGTTCGGGTGTTTCCAGCAGACACGGAACGGAGATGGTTTCTGCGGCCTTCCCCTGAAGTCCCGTTTTGGGCAAGGTGCGTGAGTTGACCTTTAAGATACTGCTTGGCCTCTCGAAGGGAGAACGCTTCTAAGGGGGCTAGCGAAGCCATCCCTGGGAGGTGACGGATGTGCGTCAGGGCCACCAGACACGTCCTGCCCGCTGCCCTCGGGCACACTCTGTGGAGGCAGTCAGGCGAGGGGGATGAAACCCCATGGAGACCACCACGGTGTAAGCCACCCGAGGGTGGGCAGCCTGCTCACGCCCCTGCTGGGGTCTGGGGGCGCCTAGGAATGGGGATCCCTACCTGCACACACCAGGCTAATCCCAGCAGAAAACTGGTGCCCACTGGGCGCTTCCGGGGGCATCTTAGTGGTTGGGGGGAACCAAGAAACAAAACACTGGAGCTGTTTTGAGGGAAACTCCCAAGTTCATAACCTTGACCATAAGGCTTCTGTTGACTGTTTTCTGGGTTCATCCACCTGGAAAGATCTTCAGGCCCAACAGCCAATTGAGTCTGAGGCCAGAGGCCCCGTGGCCACAATCAGCAGGTTAAACACTTCCTTCTAGTAAAAACGACCACTCCCTCCGCCTTCAGACAGCACTAGGTATTTGTGCCAGAGTAAGCACTTTTGTTATTTATGATTCTTTTTACATCTTTTGTTGACGGTGTGTGTGTGTGGGGGAGGGGGTGGTAAGAATGGTTTCTATTTGCACCCCCCTCGTCCTCCCTTTCTCTAAGAAAATGGCCAGGCGAGCCATTGGAGTGGTTTCTCCTGCCTGGCAGGGTGACTACCTTGGGGAGCCTGCATGCACGTGTGTGTGGAGCCTGTGGTGGTCGGTGAGGCTCTGGGTGAGGCTGGCCGCACTGACTCGGGCTGCTTGGGGCAAAGGACTTGCCACCTGGAGCCGGGAGGCCAGGAGCTGGGGTTTCCAACGCCCGCTGTTGGCATTATTGTATCCAGATCCCAGGCTCGCTTCCCTGAAGCGCACCCCTTTTTTGTCGCCGTCATCGTAAATGCCACCATCTGCTTTCCCGCCCCCCAGCTTCTCTGCTGAAAACGTAGGTTATTCTGACAACTTTGGAATGTACTCTGCGTTCTGTGCTCGTTGGAAATGGACATCATGATGCCTGCTTTCCTTCCTCCAGACTTCTGTTTTCATACTTTTTTTTAACTGGGGTGGGGATGGCAGTGCCCTCACGCCTTTTCTGGGGCAGCATTTTAAACCTTTGCCAAAATTTCAAACGGGACCTATGCATTCTCCCCGTCCACCCTACGTGAGGCAAACACCCATCAGCTATTTTTAATCTCTCTGTGTGTGTGTTTGAAATGTGTGTGTGGGGGGATGTATGATGTTATCTCCAGGTTTTTGAAGAGAGATTTGGTTTGGGTCAACATCCCATCATGCCCAGCTTTGTAGTCATTAAAAGAAACAATCACAATGAGCTTTGTAAATACAACAGATTTTATTTCTCTCCCCTTTCAATGCAAAGCTTTCGGTTATTTCTATATACTTGTTAGGAAACGGTTCCTTTAATTGTGTCCATTTCATCCTGGAAGGATGCTCGCCGTGCTTTTGGAAGGGACTGAAAGCACAGCACAGAGCGAGGGGCGCTCCTAGGACCCCGAGTCCGTAGCACCTGAGCCCACAGCAGCATCACCTGGGAAACGGCGTCTCTGTCCCAGCGAGGGGAGGGGGGGTGGGGGGAGGTGCGGTCTGTTCGTGTCGCCAGACGGTGTCACTGACTGTTGTGTTTGCTGGGGCAGGTGGGCGTGCGGTGTTTGCAAGAAGAAGAACTGGTGGCTCATTTCTGACTTCCTTGCACCGGGGCTGGCGGTAACCGCATGGAGGGTCCCCCGAGGGCCTCGTCAGTGCTCTGTAATCCTCCTGGCGGTGCTCACGGGCCGCGGTTTTGATGAGAGGAGCGGGTGCAGTGCGCTTTAATTTGATAGGAACTCCCAGATGCTTTAAATTCTCGATCCTGTGATGACACACGTGTGATCCCGCGTGTCTCCGAGCGGTCCTGCTTTCATTGTCTGCCGGCGTGGCCTGTTGCTGTTGCCCAATAAAGCTTGTGCACTTATGCTTTGGGGGTCGTTTTAATTTGTGTGCAAACATGAATTCTGGTGCCAAAATGAGGGCTTTTCATTCTAATGCTTCTCTTTTGTGCAGATCTCCTGGTACATAAATGGTAAATAGCTTTTTCTCCATTTAATTTTTTTTTAATTTTAGCAAAAAAACAACAAACCCACCACCCCAAACCCATGCATTATTTATTATCCTGTGCTGGTGTGTGTTCCAGACATGTCAGAATTTCAAACAGTGATCGACATACATAGAAAAAAAGGAGAAAAGCGTTCAACAAGATTCATGTTTTATTTACACACCCATGGTCCTTGATTGCTTCGGATACTTTTATATTTTTTGAATCACGTGATAGAAGATTTAGGAACGCAGTAAACTGAGAAGAGCCTTAAGTTTTAGGCAAATGAGGTTTCTAAGTTCATTTGTAAGAAGCAGAGGACATGTTTTATCAATTTCATCTGATGATTCTCATCTCGGAGTGATTTTGCCCCCCAGGGGACATACAGAATGTGGGAAGTCACAACTGGTGTGTGTGTGTTGGGGGGATTCTTGCGAGGAGAGCCCCGGATGCCGCAGGACACCCTACGCTGCACAAACCCCCTCAACAAAGAAGCAGTCGGGCCCCCAATGTCAAAAGTGCCGAGGCTGTGAAACCCCAACAGACTCTGCGCATGTCAGTTTTACCCTTTGTAGGCGCCTTCCCCCTTGTCCAGGGGAGCCCAGCCCCAGACACCCCCGTGTCCCAGCCACGCGTGCGCCCGCCTGGCCAGATGTTTTAATTAGTAGCTGTTTGCAGTGGGGGCCGCTGGGCCGCTCATGGGCTCTCGGTGGAAAGGCCCTTCTCAGTTTATCAGTTAAAGAGGTTGTACATGAACTGTGTCTCCATCAGCAGCGGCTCCCTGGGCACACGGGATGCGTGCGCTGGGCTCCTGTGACGTGGGCGCAGGAGCACCTGGCAGTGCTTTCCTAAAGCGTGTGCGTGTGCCTGTGCATGTGCATGTGCTCTTGGAGCAAAGCCCTGCACTCTGCAGCTGCCTGCACGAAATTCTGCCCGTGTGGACGCTCCGCCAGCGAGCCGCTGGGGAAACCTGAGGGTTGAAAGGCCCTCCTTCCTTCCTTCCTTCCTTCCTTCCTTCCTTCCTCCCGCTCGCCCTCCCTCCCTCCCTCCCTCCCTCCCTCCCTCCCTCCCTCCCTCCCTCCCTTCCCCTCTCTCTTTCTCTCTCTCTTTCCCTCCCTCTCTTCCTTTCTTTTAAAAATTGATTTTAGAGAGAGGAAAAGAGAGAGAAAGAGAAAAACATCGATTTGTTGTTCCACTTGTCTACACACTCATGGTCGATTCTTGTATTGCCTTGACTGGGATCGAACCCCACGTTGGTGTATCAGGATGTCACTCTAACCAACGCAGCTGCCTGGCCAGGGCCTAAAAGACATTTCTGTTTCCGACACCCAGGCAGGCCACACAGACCCAAGACGCTGCTTTCGTAGGGTCATAGTTCGTTTCATGGCCCACAGCTCCGTTAAAAACAGGCATTTCTTTAATGTTATTGACCAGACGATTTTGCTGAATTTAGAAAACCCAAACAAAACAAAACTGGGGTGTGGGGGGTGGGCAAAGACTATTTATTTGATCTCGGATATTTGTATTACATTTTTTGTTTCTTTTTCTCAATTGAAGCTTGCATTCAATATTACTTTGTTTTAGTTTCAGGTGTACAGCAGTTAGACATTCATATACTTTACAAAGTGCCCCCTGCCCCCCAATATTTCCAGTACCCGCCTGGCAGCATACATCGTTATTACTACATTACTGACTCTGTTTCCTGTGTGTGCTTTACATTCCCGTGACTGTTTTATAAATACCAATTTGTGCTGCTCAGTCCCTTCACCTTTTCACCCAGCTCCCAAACAGCTCTCCTCTGGCAACCACCAGTCCGTCCTCTGTGTTCATTCATTGGTTTCTGTTTTGTTTATGTTGTTCTTTAGATTCCACAGATGAGTGAAATTATATGGTATTTCTCTTTTTCTGACTGACTTATTCACTTAGCACAATAGTCTGGGTCTATCCCACAGCTTCACTGTCTAGTTCCCTGTTGATGGACATGTAGTTGGTTTCCAGTCTTTCTCTCTCACCATTAACGCTACAGCCTCACCCCTCTCCATGTGCACAGGGACCGTCATCCCTCAGCTCGAAAGCCGTGCATGTGATAGAGAAGCCAACTGAATGGGAGCCCTGTGCTGGGGGTTTTAAATGCGGAGCCTTTAGAACCTGTCGTGTTCCTTCTCCGTGGGTTTAGATGTGACCTGGTGGGAAGAGGAGGGCTCAGGGTCCAATAGAGCTCGTTCCCAGCCTTTTCCACCAGCGCTGGCCCCTCGGGAAAGTGGCTTCCCTTTCAGAGGTTGGGCAGCCTCCGCTGCACCCTATGGGACCGTGTGAAGACTGAGGTTGCCTGTGGGTGGGGCACCCCCCAGGGAGCCCTTGGAAGGAACAGATGGTCACTGTCAAATACAGTCTCTTTCTCTGGCCTCAGGATCCTCGGTGTCCAGCTTAGACTCTG